ATGAAAAGGAGAAGAATGAAGATTCACCTAGAGAGGCCACTACTGTAGGAGATCAGAGAACAAAAAGGCAACCAAGTTGGATGCAAGACTATGAATATGGAGAATGACTATAAGAAGAAAAAGAAGTTGCACAAATTATTCAGGAGAAGCAAGTTGAGCAGCTAACACAAGAGATGCAACAACTGGCCATGTTCGTGTCAAATGATCCCACTACGTTTGAGGAAGCTATCAAAAGTCAGCTATGGAGGGATGCAATGGAGTCTGAAATTGCAACAATAAATAGGAATGATACTTGGGAGCTGACGAAATTACCAACAGGCGCAAAGAAAGTTGGTGTCAAATGGATTTTCAAGACTAAGATCAATGGATTTTCAAGACTAAGATTAATGAAAGAGGAGAAATAGATAAATGCAAAGTTAGGCTGGTAGCAAAGGGGTATGCACAACAAGCTGGGATTGATTATAATGAGGTATTTGCACCTGAAGCACGATGGGATACCATTAGACTAACTCTGTCCATTGCAGTCAGTCATGGATGGAAAATCTATCAACTTGATGTCAAAAGAGCTTTTTTACATGGTGAGATAAAAGAAGAAGTATATGTAGAGCAGTCAAAAGAATATGAAGTGAAAGGTAAAGAAGACAAAGTATATAGACTCAAGAAAACTCTTTATGAACTAAAACATGCCTCTCGTACATGGTTCAATAAAATTGAGTCATACTTTGTAAAAGAATGTTTTGAAAGAAGCACATAAAACAAGTGAAAAGAAAGTGAAGATCAAAATAGAATATTATATATCTTTGTTATCGTGACTTTTTAACACAAAGTGTGGATTGAGTTCGACTCATTTCCAAAGCTGAAATTTTTCTTTTATCCATGGAGGAAACAAATAACTATTTATAAGAAAATAATATATTGAAAACATGTAGAACTTGGGTCTCAAAGTGTTTATGGATACTTCATCTACTTAACTTCAATCCAAAATATTATCCAATTTTCTAATATTCATGGAAATGCTCTAAATATTTCAAAACACACTATTAAAATTCATAAACATTACTCTTTCCTAAAATATAATTATGCATTTCTAATAAATACAATTATGCATTTCTAAATAAATGACACCTGAGTATTAATAATTTCAGAATGACGGCTTTATAAAGAGATTTAATATTAGTCATGCTTGAAAAATAAAAGGAAGTATAACGTGTTCAGGTTAGTCGGGAGGCTTTTAAGAAAATAAAATGGTTATTTTTCCTCCTCTTCTAATTTTATCATCCTTAAAATTAATTATAATATGATATAATTGAAACTTAAATAACATTTTATCAAATCTATAACTAATTTTTATTAAACATTATGATTAACCACTTTTAATAATTTGTTCCGAGCTTCAATTTCAAAGATGTTAAATGAATTCCTTTAGAAAAAGCAAAGATCCACATGTAAAAGAACACTCAAGTCAACTTTTAGACAATAAATAATGTAATGCGTGATGTGGTGAAATTTACTCTCTAACTAAGTCTCTTTAGAGTATTTCCAAAGGGAATTGTTACCAAGAGTTGTTTAAGAATAAAAATGAATATTTTATTATGGATCACACATCTGAATTGCTTAAAAATGGAAAAAATTATTTAAAATTGAAAGAAAATTGCTTGGATAAGCAACTCTGACTAAATTTTAAATAACTCAACTGTGAGACCTATAATAAAATATTTAATTTTAATCTTAGACAACTCTTGTTAAAAACTTACTTTGAAGATGCTCTTATGACTCAAAATATAATAATAACAAAAAACATAATAACTAACAATTCAACGAGATAATAATCAATAACCTAAAAGATAATAACTGATATAAGATATTATAATAACTAAAATACAATTAATAATATATAACAAGATCATTAAATAAATAAAGTAGTTTTAATATATTTGGCCAGGTAGGTACACAGACTCCCAAACTCGGAGGTTGAATTCCTTTAAGAATAAAAACTAAATGAGTTTAAGGTTAAGTTGATTATTTCATCAAGTAGTATTTGTTTTAAACGTGTTTATTCTATCAATCATCATTCGGTTAGATCAAGATATATTCGTACGATTTACTTATTTGTCATGCAAAGATATTTGATAACTCGTATAACTTGTGTCATCTCAATTAAGGTAAATGCAGTTTTTGACAAATCGTATATTGGAGTAAGCTATGCAAAACTCGTGTGACCTCGAGTAAGGATGTATAACTCATGTAACCCTGTGTAAGGTAGATGCAAATTTTGATAACTCATATATGAGTAAGGTATGTATACTTGTGTGACTCTGAGTAAAGTAGATGCATATTTTTATAACTCATATACCTAAGTAAGGTGTGTGTAACTCATGTGACTTTGAGTAAGATAGATGCAGGTTTTGATAACTCATATGCCTTGAGTAAGATATATATAACTCGTGTGACCCCGAGTAAGGTAATAGTTTTATACTCGTGCAACCCTAAGTAAGGTAAGTTTTGTACTCACATGACCTCAAATAAGGTAAGTTTTATACTCACGTGACCTTGAGTATGCTTATACTTGTGCGACTCCGAGTAGGGTTATACTTGTGCGATCCCAAGTTGGGTAAGTTTTATACTAGCGTGACTCTGAGTAGGGTAATAATTTTGTATTTGCGTGATCACGAGTAAGGTAGTGCGACCCCGAGTAGGATAATAATTTTATACTCGTGTGACCTCGAATAGGATAAGTTTTATACTCGTGCGACCCCAAATATGATAAGTTTTATACTCGTGCGACCCTGAGTAGGGTAATTATTTTATACTCGTACAACCCCGAATAGGGTAATAGTTTTATACTCGTGCGACCTCGAATAAGGTAATAGTTTTATACTCGTGTGACCCTGAGTAGGGTAATAATTTTATACTCGTGTGACCCCGAATAGGGTAATAATTTTATACTCGTACGATCCCGAATATGGTAGTAATTTTATACTCGTACGATCCCGAATATGGTAGTAATTTTATACTCGTGCGACCCCGAGTAAGATAATAATTTTATACTCGTGCGACCCTGAGTAGGATAATAGTTTTATACTCGTGCAATTCCGACTAAGGTAATAATTTAATACTCATGCAACCCCGAATATAGGTTAAAGAGTTATACAATCGTAAGACTGATCCTTTTAATGTGGTAGGGAAGACTTGGCAGAGGATGACTCCGTTGTTAGTATACATTTTTACCTGTACCTTGTACATTGCTAAGTGTTATTCTGAATTTGTTGAACCATCGTATTTCTCAATGTCGAGTGGTTCCTAATTAAGTGAGAGAGGTGTTTCCATGAGCATGTAGGTCGAATCTAGAGTGGGGCTTTCACAGTAGGTTCTCTTGAAGGAGGAAATTAGACTATTGGTTTGTTAGTGTGTTCGTGTTTGCGATTCTCCCTTGAGTGCCTCCTTCTTGGGCTTGACGATTTGACACTTGGGTTAGGTGGATTTCCTTATCTAAGAGCAAGTTGACTTTTAATTTGGTCCGAGTTTTCGAGTTTTGAACATCTTCTATTGGTCGATATTAATGATTGTTGGGTTTGCGTTTAACTTGATGTTGTGGTCTCTTCTTGGTGCATGTGTTTACTTACTCGTTTGTGGTTGTTTTACTAAAGTCTTTACTTTGTTTCATAGGTTTGAAGCTAGACTTGGGGTTGTTTTCGAATTAGTTGTAAGTCTTTGGTTGCTTTCTGTTGGATTATCTAGTGTTGTTTTCGAACCATCTCAAGTTTTTCTGTCTTTTGCTGAATTTGCAATAACTTTTCTCTTCTTGTAGAGTATTTATCTCCGAATCTCGTGTTTTGAGTTTTGATTTCACCTTCAACTTTGAGGATGTTGAATGACTTCCTCTTAAGAGAGTAGAGACACATTTACAAAAGTTATTCTGATACTCAAGTAAACTTTTAGACAAAAGAGTAATGTATTTGAGAATGAGTTATAAGGTGATATTTACCGATTGACTAAGTCTTCTTACGTAGAACTCAGAAGATAATAATAGCTCAAAATATAATAACTGATCATCCAATCGATAATAACCGATAGTCCAAAAATAATAATTGTTATAAGATATTATAAAAATAAGAGTAATTAATAATATATAACTAGATAATTGAATATATAAAATAGTTTTAATGGATTTTAACGAAGTAGGTACATATGTATTTATATAATTTTTTAAAATTTAATTTTAATGTAGTGATATCTATTAAAATATTTTATTCATTATTATTATTAACAATAGATATAAGTTATTTACTAAATTTATATAATTAGAGTTAAGAAATTTGAAATTAAAAATAAATTTATATTTATATTATTTTGTATATATAAAATGAGATAAGAGTGTGGTACTCTCGTATATTTATGAGTTTCATGTCATCTAAAAGTTAATGTTACGGATATGTTATATACACTTTTTTCTTTTAATCTATTAAATACTTTATGTTATGGATAGATTATATATACACTTCTTTCTTAATAAACAGAAGAATCTTATAAAAATAAAACTTTAATGAATTAAAATTCTAAGATGAAGAACATCTCAAATTAATCTTAACAATATTAATAAAAAAAAATAAGAATAGAACACGAAACAAATATAATTAAGTAAGTTTCTAATAAATATTTAAACTCACAATCTAAATATTACCCAAAATATTTTCTTCTTAGAGAGAAAAAAAACTCCCATATATAAAAAAAAAAACTATACATTGATAATTCTATTTAAAAATTTATTTGTTAGATAATCTAATATAATAATATCTATTATTATATTATTATATTGGATGTTTTTGAAAATTTGTGAAAATTTAATCATCCAAACAAACACGTATGCTCTTCCCCTTCCTTTTCCTCTCTCTGTCTGCCTATAAATGTCCATGACTCACTAGTTTTTCAAGCACCACCACTCTAACAACTGCAATCATACATACACACAGATACACCTTTTCCTCCTCCCAAGACCCACCATGGGATCTAAACTCCAACATAATAACAATAGTAGTACTATGAAGTTCCTCTGTAGTTACGGCGGCAAGATCCTGCCTCGCCGCACCGACGGTAACCTTCGATACTGTGGCGGCCACACCAGAGTCCTGGCTCTCCATCCTTCCGCTTCATTCTCAGGTCGGTAACTCCTAATTCGCTTCATCAAATTCATCGTCCTCTCCTTTTAATTTGCTTACTCATAAAATATATTTTTGGCCAAATACTCACCTTATTCCTCAAAACTTAATTTCCTATCACCTGTACAAAATTCAAAAAAGAATTTAGAAAATCTAAAACTTTTACCTTTAAAAAAATAAAAAACTGTACACTCATATTTTCTTTTTAATTTTAATATTTTAAATATTTAAATAACAGTGAATCACATTTTTTACCTTAAATTAATTAATATTTTTTAATAATTTAAAGCTAAATTTTGAAAAATTAAGAAATTATGTAATAACTATTTTATTAAAGCAGTTTTTACCGTGGATCGTATTAGGTTTTATTTGATCAAACTTATTATTTAATTCTTTTGAGTTGAATTAAATAAAGTCTTTAAATTTTTTATTAGATTCAATAGAATTTAATCTAAAATTAATTACGTTGAATTGAATTAAGTTAATTAGATAACATATTTCTCAAATAAAACTTTCTATTCAAAATACTTTTTTTATTTTTTTGGAAATAAATATTTTAAAAATAAATTATATTATTTCATATTTAAATAATTTAATATTTTAAAATATATTTAATAAAAACAATAATTAAATAACAATTATATTATTATTATTATTTAATAATTTCAATCAAATGAAACAAATTGCGGTATTATTGATTAAATTAATTTATAAAATTTATCACTCAAATATTAAATTAGATTGAGTCAGGATTTATGATTGAACTACTCTATTCAATAAACACTTTTTTAAATTAATTTTTACTTTTTAGTTTTTAAAATTAAAATGAGAAATTATATTTTTAATTTTTATTAATGGTAATAAGTTTTGTTAGTAAATTATATTATATATGTTTTTTGTCGTAATAGATAATAATTTTCATTTAATACATTTTTTTAAATTTTTAAACGATTTATTAAACAAATTTTTAACTTAATTTTTAAATAATTATTCAAAGTTATTTGTTAAAACTAAATAAAACATGTTACTTATTTACTTGATTATCCTTCTACCACTTAATATAATTGTAGTTTAAATTTCTATAAATTGCGCGTGTGCTTACACTTCAATGTTTTACAGATTTGATGGTAAAGATTAGCGAGTTGTATGGTTCGCCGGCGACACTCCGATGTGCATTGCCAAACGGAGACTTGGAAACCTTGATTTCCGTCAAAAACGACGAAGATTTGGCTATTATAATCGAGGAATACGATCGAGCCTCTTCGTCCTTACCTCACCGGCTCAAGATCAGAGCCATTCTTTCGCCGCTAAACAAATCCTCTCCTTCTCCGTCTTCTTCGTCCAGTGCTGCTCATACTCCGTCCGGTTCGCCTCACTCCCCCGCCGGTTTCTCGCCTTGTTATCAGGCGCATCGGTTCGGCTGCAGGAATTACTTGCCGGCTGTGTATTCTATTGGCGTCCATAACGGAGCGGCGAAATCTTGTTCGCCTCCCTCCTCGCCCGGTTCCCGGCCTTGCTGGTTCTGTTGCCGAAATATTTCCTCGGCTACGTATCTTATTGGCAACAGTAATGGAGCGATGAAATCCAGTTCCCCTCAGTCCTCCGGCGGTTCCTCGCCGTACTTCGCTGCCCACCGGTTTAGCTGCCATAATTGCTCGCTGGTTCCGTATCCTATTGGCGATTGTATTGCAGCTGCAAAAGGATATTAAGCATGTTTGGTGATGAGTTTCACGATTTTCTTTTTAAATATAAAAAATTAAAATGGACTTTTTGTAAATTAAAATCAGAAAAATGATGAAATAATTTTTAATATCTTTTTATAATTCCGATAACATAATATTAAATATAAAAATTTGTTAATATTATATTAATAAATATGTAGTGAGTAGATCGGACAGTTACAAATAAAAAAATCATAAAAAAAACACTAATATAATATTAATGATAAATACAACAAAGTATTAAGGAAAGGGGCATCAACCAATAAGAAAAAGAAAATAGGCTGTTAGAGAAATTAATTGATGAATTTGTTTAGACAAATTAGTAACGTATCCTTTTTCGTAACTTCAATTTTATACATAATTTTCTCCAAATTACTATTGTCAAAGTCAATTTAGTTAATTACAAAGTAATATTTTTTAAAAATATTTTGAAAATTCTTATAAAAACGTTAAAATAGATTATTAAGAGACGAGCAATTGGACAGAAGCCCAAAACTCCTTTCCCGTGGGCCTCACTTTACTTCAATATTGGTACTGATCAAGTTATTTTTGCCGAGAAATTTGAAATAGTTTGTTTAGATTTTCAACATAGTGATAATAATTGAAAAAGATTTTGAATATAGTGATAATATACAATGAAATATATAAAAATGATGGAAGAAAAGAATCAGAATATGGATTTGAGAGAATGAAAATAAATGAATTTAAAAAAATAAAAAAATAAAATTGAGATTGTTTAAATTAAAAAAAAATTGATTAAAAATAAATAAAAATTTATGAATAATATAATTGATTTGACAATTTAATTTAATTGATAAATGAGTGGATTACAATTTTGTATTTTACTTAAAAAAAGATTTGAAAATAAAATATAAATTAAGTAAAAAAATATTAAAATTAGATATGATAAATTAGTTAGAATATATTATTATTTAATTATATGATTTTATTATAAAATGAAATATATGACTTAGAAATAAATTTGAAATAAAAAATTGATTTATGTTTTTTAAATGAAATAAACTTATAATTGAATTTTCTATTTTTTTAATTAATTATAAATGTAATTTAAATTTAGGTATATAATTAAGAAAAAAATGATAAAATAAATGATAAAATAAATTATAAAATTACAGGAAAACAATGTGTAAAAAAAAAATACAAAATCGATAAAAGTAAATATTGGAAGTGTAATGTCAAAATATCCTTATCATACATAATAATTAAAACATTAATTTTATTAAAACGTGAGTCTTAAAAATCGTTAAATCACTTCTCCAAATAATTATTTCTATCATGCGTCGAAACCTATATTAACTTATATTATTATTTAAGTTTAGATTAGCTAAACTATCATTCAACCATTATCATTTTTTTCTTGCATGTTACTGACTCAATTTTATGATAACATTTGACTAGGTATGGGCTGGTTTGAAGATTTTTTTTTATATATATATCTTAAGATTTCTCTACAGTACTTACTAAATATTAAAGATATATACTATATTTTTATTTCACCAACCAATACTATGCATTATTATTTTTGTTGCAGATAAAATTATATATACGATGTAGATTGCATTTTTTTTATAATTTTATTATACTAACTTATTTATTTAAAGTGTTCTTTAAATTATTTTTATTGTTTTAATGTAATTAGTCTTTTAAATTATATTGTAAATGATAAATGCTTATTTTTATATGATGAATAAAATCAATAAATGTATTTGATTATATATATTATTTCTAAGGAATTACAAATTGTGATAAAAAATTATTTTTATCATAGGTTTTTAAATATATTAAAATTTAATTTAGAAATATATCGAGTTATTTGTACCTTGGAAATTAATCACGAAAATACATTAAATTAACTTGTATTGCAATTTTGTCTTACTGTAAGCTTAGTTTTTATTTCTTACAAAATAAAAATAATTATAAAACTTTAGTCTTTCCCTTTGGTTTGGATCATTAAAAAAAATCATTTCTATTTTTTTATAGATATATAAAGTTTTAAAAAAATTTAATTGTTTTCATAATATATATATATATATATATATATATATATATATATATATATATATATATATATATATTATAACGACCTTATGGTACAAAATCAAAGAAAAAAATAAAAAATAATGTCATTAAATACTAAATAATATTTTTTATTAATAATAAATATCATTATTTATAAATAAAATTTTATAATGTTTATAATTAAAAATAAATGACTTTATAATAATATATTCTTCTCCTATATTATTTTTTTTAATTTATAATCGAGTATTTATCGTTAATATTTTATTTTATTTATTTTATTAGTTTATTTATCATTCTTATCTATTTTTAAAAGGCACTTTCTTCATGCATCTCAATAGTTTTTCCTGTGTTGAATATAGAAGTAATAGAGTTTCAAATTAATCTCCCTTGTGTATAAATCACACATAGGGTAGTCTATTTATAATAGAGAGATACAACTAAAAGAGTAACTGAAAGTAACAGAATAAACAGAAGATATTGTTTGATATTGTGGTTAACAATATCTAACAATATCAAATAATATCTAAATAATATCTAACATTCCCCTTCAAGCTGAAGCATACAAATCGTATGTGTCAAGCTTGTTACAAATATAATCAATTCTAGGCTCCTGTAAAGATTTAGTAAAAATATCTACTAACTGATCACTTGAGTTAACAAACTCAGTATTGATGTTTCCAGACATAATCTTTTCTCGAATGAAATGACAGTCAATCTCAATGTGTTTGGTCCTCTCATGAAAGACAGGATTAGAACTAATATGAAGAACAGTCTGATTGTCACACACAAGTGACATTTGAGTGACATCTCCAAATTGTAACTCTCTAAGTAATTGCTTGAGCTAAACAAGTTCACAGGAAGCTGAGGTCATAGCTCTATATTCTGCTTCTGCACTAGATCTTGCCACAACACTTTGTTTCTTATTTTTCCATGAGACAAAGTTATCACCAATGGAGACACAATATCCAGATGTAGATCTTCTATCTGAAGGAGATCCTGTCCAATCAGCATCTGAGTAGCAAACAACTCTTGTATGGTTATTAGAATCATATAACAATCTTTTTCCAGGAGATCATTTAATATACTTTAAGATACGAATGAATGCATTCCAATGATCTTCACATGGGGAATTAAGAAATTGGCTTACCACACTGACTGCAAAGGAAATGTCAGGACGAGTAACTGTAAGATAATTCAATTTTCCAACCAATCTTCTATACTACTCAGGATCAGGTATAAGCTCCCCCTAATTTGGTAGAAGTTTAGTATTGGGATCCATGAGTGTATTAATAGACTTTGAACTCATCAACCTAGTTTCCTCCAAAATATCCATGACATACTTCCTCTGAGATATAACAATACCATCATCGGATTGTGTCATCTCAATACCCAAGAAATATCTAAGTTTGCTAAGATCTTTGGTCTGAAAATGGTGACAGAGATGTTGTTTCAATTGAGAGATGTCATGGTTATCACTACCTGTAAGAACGATGTCATCAACATATACTATCAAGTAAACACATCCAACACTCGAGTGTTGATAAAAGACAGAGTGATCTGCTTCACACTGAGTCATACCAAGTTGTTAAACAACCTTGCTAAACTTTCCAAACTAGGCCCTAGGAGACTGTTTTAGGCCATATAGGGATTTGTGAAGACGACATACCATCCCAGAAGACTCCCCCTGAGCAACAAACCTAGGAGGTTGCTCCATATAGATTTCTTCTTGCAAATCACCATTGAGGAAAACATTTTTAACATCTAGTTGATAAAGAGGTCATTGTTGAAGAGCGACCATGGCGATAAATAAACAAACAGAAGTCATCTTTGCCACAGGGGAAAAGGTATCCCCATAATCCAACCAAAAAATTTGAGTATAACCTTTGGCCACAAGACGAGCTTTGAGGCGATCAATAGTACCATCAGGTCCAACTTTGATATCAAACACCCACCTGTAACCAACAACAGATTTCTCAGACGATAACGAGACCAATTCCCAAGTTCCACTATTATGAAGAGCACTTAGTTCATCTAACATGGCCTGACGCCAACCAAGATGGGCTAAAGCTTCACAGACAATTTTTGGAATGGTCATAGAAGAAAGAGAGGAAATACACGTATAAAAAGGTAATGATAGTCGATGATAACTCAAAGCAATATAATGAGGAGAGGGATTACGTGCAGAACGAATACCTTTTTGGAGGACAATGGGAATGTCATACTCAGGTGTCACATCTGGAGGAGACAGAATAGTTGGCACTTGAGTGGAGTCACATGGTGGTGGTTGTGATTGGTTTCGACAACTATAAACCTGAAGAGGCGGTGAAGAAGAAGCTAACTGCATAGCAGAAACTAATGGTGAAGAAGACACAGTTATAGGGTCACAAACAATAGGAACATTAAATGTACTAGGAGTGTTGACAAGATTGGATGGAGACAGAGGTGAAAATTGACTTTTAAAATAAAAAGAGAACTCATCAAAGGAGACATCTGCAGACACAAAATAACGGTTAAGAGAAGGAGAAAAACATTTGTATCATTTTAGTGATCTTGTAAACCCTAAGAAAACACATTTATGTGATCTAGGAGAAAGTTTGTCAAGACTAGAACTAAAATTATGAACAAAACATGTAGACCCAGAAACTCTTAGAGGTAAGGGATGAAGTGGTTCATGAAGAAATAAAATGGAATGAGGTATTTTATTATCTAAAACCGAAGATGACATGCAATTAACGAGATAACATGCAGTAAGAAGAGCATCACCCCAAAAATGTTGAGGAACCTCTCCATGAATTAAAAGAGTGCGAGTTATTTCAATAAGATGTCTATTTTTACGTTCAACTACACCATTTTGTTGAGGTGTATAAGCACAAGAAGTTTGATGCAAAATTCCATGAGAAGCTAAGAATTGTTTAAAAGAATGAGAAAGATACTCACGACCATTA